AAAGGACTCTGGTAAGACATGAGGTTTAAGCTAAAGCTTAAAGAAGTAGGAATTAAAGAGGGGCATTCCAGGCAGGGAGATCAGCAAATCCAAAGCCTTGAGGCAGGAGAGAGTTCGCCATACTGGAGGAAGAAAAGACCAATGTCGTTAAAGTACAAGAGGCTCATGGAAAAAGCAGAAGAAATAATGAAGGGTAAATGCATGCAGAATCTTATAGGCCGTGTGAAAGGTGATTTTTATTTTAAGTGCAAAGGGTTTTAATGAGGGAACTCGTGTTAAAATACCATTTTCCTGAAGAAAAATAAGGTATTACATTTATCACCCCCCAACTATATTTGACCTTGGAACCATTCTGCTGATAAGTTTCCTAGGAGCAATATCTTTGGAAATCACACTGACAATACTTTAAGAAATCCTACTCTAACCAAGAATTGTGTCCTCAGATGGTAAGTGACAGAAAACAGGAAAAGAGACTTTACTGGTTCAGACTCGTGAATCAGTATCAGAAACATTCAGAAGGAGGTCTGCCAACACGGACAGATTTGGGGTTCAAACATCACTAGGACTCATCGACTAGCCCTGTTTAGTTTTATTCTGAGGCTCATTAATGTGATCCCAGAAGTTCCAGCATTTTCCATTGTGGGAGCAAGGCGAATGAATCATCTCCTCACATGCTCCCAGACTGCACGTTGGTGGGAAAGAGGTCTCTTTCACAACATTTCCAGAAAAATTCCATTGCCTCTTGGTACCCCTCATTGACATGCCCATCTGGGAACCAGTCACCAGAGTAACCAAAGTAATAGGATATATTGATGGACTGAGGCCTAGGTAACCTGCAGCCTTGACTATTTGGATTCTCAAACAGAAATCTAGGATGACCACTACAAGCAGGAACAATGCTGGAGAGGCAGAGGGCAAAACTGCAGAACAGATTTTTTTTTGTTTTAATTTTAGTGTTTTAAATTATGTGGATATTTTTGAAGTAACTATGTTGCATTTCTGGTTAAAAGTATAAAAGGGAAATGCAATAAAGGTTTTAAAATAGCACAAAAAATGTGCTTTTTGTTGCTTCTGGGTGGTTACAGAAAGTAGAAAAATTATGGAACAATGAAATAGGACACTTCTGTTATTACTACTACTAACAATTCACCTCCATTCATGACTTTTTCTTTTTTTTGGTCCTTTCCATCTGCATGGAAATTATCCTACCTAGACTAGTGAGTTACTAAATAAATGATGTCATGTGCTTCATTGAAATTATTGTCAACAGCCCATCCACACACATACGTGTATAATATGTATGCATATTTGTGTGAATATATAATATATATGCCTTTACAGAAATATAAATCTTCAGGATTATAAAAAAGGATTTTATGATTAGATTCTTTAATCAAAATGTCCTCTAGAGTACTTTTAAGATAGTAATAAATATTGGAATTTATAAGAGGCAGTGAGTCAAAGTCCTGCGCATATAAAGTTTAGAAGTATAAAAGGGAAAAAATGTTCTTCTATGAGAAGATAATATGGTCTAAGTGATCAAAATAGACTTAGATAAATGGTCGAGCCTGCATAAAAACTACAGGTCAAGGAAAAGCTATGACCCTTACAACATCAACTAGCAACATATTTTTAGTCTTAGAGAGAGTGGGTTAACACTCTGGTCATTTATACTTTGTTCCTCATTTTATGACTGTCATCTAAATATAGCTGAGGCCATAGCAGGGCAAGAACTGCTAGGGAGGAATTTGTGGATGAAATGAGACTTCGGGGAATTTTTCTGAAGGGTGCCGTTAGGAGTGCATGGTAGAGAATCCTAGTAGGATGTCGAACAGTGAGGGAAAGTAGTTTGGCAACTGGAATTTTACTGTTCACACCTCAAAAACAGGTCCTATTTGCCTCAAATCCCAAGAATGGCCCTGTAGCAAATTTCTTAAGGATTTCTAGACTGGCAGACAACCACAGCTAGATTATATTTTCTGATTTCATTCCGGATATTTGTGTCCCTCTGAATTCCTCTCTCATCGTAGTGAAAGCACAGAACTGGATTTGCCTTTAGAAGCTAAGAGAAAGTCAAGTATGTACCCTTTGTTTCTTTGTTTCTTTCTTTCTTTTTTTCCCCTTCTAAATTAGGTATACACATATAGAAGTTTGAAAGTCAATGAATTTAAGCATAAATATTGTATAAGTATACTTTTTCCTTAGCAGTGACTGAATATTAAAACACTTAGTGTATAACATATCCACAGTTATCCTGACATTTAATTGGTTTATGTACTCCTGTAAAAGGCCAAATTTACGAGTTTATTCCTGAAATCTAAAAATACAGATGATTATTCCTAAATATCTGTATCTTTAGACTTTGCAAGAAAAGAAGCTAGCAAACAACTAATTGTCATATGGCTCTGAAGTAAAGAGGGCATTGCTGGCAATTCTATTAGAATTATTTTATTAACATAACTACTGAGATTATTTCTGAATCATACAAAATCCCATGCATAATGTCCTGGTCATACAATGAAATGTTTAAAAAAATTATCAAGTTATATTAATTCAAACCATACACATACAGGAATAATGTTCTATTTTCTGAATAATTCCTGGAAAATTAAGTATTACACCATGTTTATTCCTTGCTTTAAATGATAGATTCTTGCACTCTATAGTATTAATGCTTGTATATGCTTCATTAATTAAATTATGCTAAGGTGATATATTAGTGTAAACATATTTTTTAACAGATACTAGCATCATGAAACTTTGGCAATGCCATATAGTATAAATCATAAGGTATTATTAAACTAATATTAATTTTAAAAACTTTAAGAAGGGTTTTTCCACCATGAATCTAGTTGTTCAGAAACATGGCATTTTTAAGTTTTATTGAGGCATAATGGACAAGCAGGAATTGTACTTATTTAAGGTATGCAACTTGATGTTTTGATATATGTATGTTTTATGAAATTATCACCACATTCAAACTAATTAACATATTTATCACCTCAGTTATCATTTCCTTCTTTCCTTCATTCCTTTCCTTTTGTCTCTTTCTTTCTCTTGAGAACATGTAAGATTCACCCTCTCAGAAGATGTCAAGTCTACAATACAGTATTGTTAACTACACTCACCATGTGGTATTGTAATAAGAAGACAACAATCGTCATGTTTTGTTTGGTATCATATTTTGCATTGAGCGCCTATCTGAGGATTTTAATCTGTCACATTATATTTTTTTGTTTGTTTTCTTTTAGATTCCACATACAAATGAGATCATACAATATTTATCTTTCTCTGTCTGACTTACTTCATGTAGCACAATGCCCTCCCAGTACATCCATGTTGTCGCAAGTGCCACATTGTTTTTTAAAACAAACAAAAATGGGATTATAAAAAAAAGTTGACTGATATGATGGCTAAATTCACATTAAAATAAAACTCAAGAATTCTGATTTTCTTTCTCTTAATTTATGTCATAATGTGAGAAGCCTCTTAAAAACACAGGCTGTGGGCTAGACCATTACTTTTGGCTGATCTTCCTTGCCTCATTATGTGGGTAAAACAGAGAAGTAAATCCTTCTCCAGCTTACCTCCCCACCTATTAAGATTTTACATGGCAAGCTCTATCCTGCTCTCTTCACAATTTCTGGGGGCTCCTACCATCCCGCCTGAGCCTTGTGTTCTGTCTATAGGCCGTGATGTAATGAATTCCTCCTACTCTCATTAAAATGTCTTCTTTGAGTACATGATATACACAGGGGCTTATCCACCTATGATCCAGTTCCCAGAGTTCTTAAACTGTCTTGGTGCCAAATTAAGGAAACTCAGCAATGATAGAACAGTGAATTTTCCTTTCAAAATTGCCCCCCACTCCTCAGTCTCCAAATGCACCAAATCATGTATCTATTACCCAAAATCACAAAACCCAAGTGTCAATATTATTATCACTAAGGGCTGATGTTTTTCCTCTCCAGCATCTATACTGTGCATTTCTCCGTCTCCACCTTCATTAGTTACGGTGTGCTTAGATCTCATCTTGATTACTAAAGTTTACTTTTAAAAAAATTAAATTCTGATACCAACCCATTATAATTAATTAGCAGTGTTTTCTCTTCATTTTGGAAAACATGACATCCTCCACTTTGGGATCTTGCACTGTTTCCAATTATACTTTTCAATGAGTTCCACTTTTCTAAAAGCAGGATGGATACATCAGAGAGTGTTATATGAGATGCAGACTTGTAAAAGAAGTTTTTACATGGCATTGGTCAGGATTCTTCCCAATGCAAGTGACAGGCAGAAATAACTGAAACTGTCTCAAGCTTAAAAACAAAATAAAACTTTGTGTGGTTATCCAGAGACTCAATATCAATTGAACTGCATTTTACTCTAACTTTCAGTTTTGCTTCCTTCTGTGTTGGCTCACATCTCAGAAAGACTTCCTTTTCCTGGTGGTTATTACCATCTTCAATTTACCATTTATCTTCTCAGCATTCTGCCCAATGGTTCCAATAAATGACTTAAAATAGAATCTCACAGGCTCTGATTGGGACACATGCTTATTCTTGAGCCCATCACCATGGCCAAGTGACTTCAGTGATCTAACTGGCCATATCTTGGTTATATGCCACCTCTTGGATCTAAGGGTGGAAACATCTTCTATAGAACCATATGGACCAGAGTAGAGAAAGAGTGGCTTGTAAAAGATTAGAGTACTATTCAGAGAATCCCAAACCAACAGATGTGAACACTATGTGAAAGGAAGAAATGTATATAGATATTATCACAATAAGGGAGTGTATACAAAATATAAACAAATAGTCATGAATCCCAGTACATCATGACATAGTCTTGGAAATATGTGACATCAGGCAGTAATCATAGAGTAATCCTTACTTTTCCAAATACATAATATTTGGGTTTATTTAGAGAATCACAAAAAAAGTAGATGAAAGACTTTTCCATCAAGCCCTCTCTAACAAGTTTTCAACTGTTTTTTTCAGGAACCAGTGATCCCTTTCGCTCTTGACATGGGCAAATAAAGGCAGATTACCTCCAAGGCACAGGTACATTCATATAAATCTCAGAAAATCATCCAAACTCTTCACTATTACACATTTTTCCTATTCTCACCTAGATATATATTTCAAAAGTGTCATTAATGGGATACTTAACTTCTTAATATGTGCACTAGTAGCAAGGAAAGTGTGAAAGAAAAAATGGATAACAAAGATGATTATTACAATCTACAACTTCAATCCCTTTCAGGTGTACTTTGCTGCCCCTAAGGCAGAGGTAAGTAAAGTTCACAACTGTGTACAGCAGCTGCTTTTTCTGAACCTGACTATAATCAGCAAAGTTGTAATTAGAGTAGGTTGAGAAAGACAGATACACTTATCGAACAGTGCTTCAGACCCAGAAACAACTGCATCTTATGGAGAAATAATTGGATCATGAGTGTTGACTGATGACTGAGAAATACCCAATCTAATTTAGGAAGACTAGCCTTCAAATACAGAGACCTGGCTTCTGGTCCTGGTTTATTAACTTGCTGTGTGTTATTAGCTAAAACTAAGGACTTCACCTTTCTGGGCTTTAGTTTTTTCATATTGAAAACGTGTGTGTGTGTGTGTTTTCTGTTTTCTAAGTTCACTTCTAAGTACTGAGATTCTATAATACAATTCTATAATACAGAAGAGAGATAAAGTCACATGGATCAGATAAGTAGGTTGTAGAACCTGTACAATTGCATCAGGGCAGTTGCTTTGCTACTAAAATGAATACTGCAGGAGGGGTCCACGCCTGGGAGTAGAATGGCACCAACAGCACTGGCAGCCAAGACCCCCAAGAAATGACTCAGGGAAGGGAGGGTGACAAAGATGGTGAAGTAGGAAGACCTAGAGCTCAACTCCCCCCATAGACACATCAAAATTACAACTGCTTACAGAGCAACTATTGATGATAAAGACCAGAAAACTAGCAGAAAAAACCTTCTACAATTAAATATAAAAAGAAGGAACCAGGACCTGACCCCATACATCAGTGTATCAACCACTAGCACCAGAACCATGGGAGGCCCCATAGTCAGCTGTCAGGACTTTGGCCTGCCCACCAGCAGGCCCCAACTCCAGGACACCCAGGGCCATGCAGACAGAGACCCAGTTCAACCCATCAATGAGCCAGCACTAGTCCTGGGGTCCTCTTGGTCATGGTCCTTCCCATGAGCAGGCCGACACCAGTTCTAGTACCCCTGGCACTATAGCAAGACCCAGACTCACTCATTCGTGAGCAGGCACCAGCCCTGGGATCCCCTGGGCCCTAGCCCTGCCCACCAGCCGGAAGATACTGGCCCCAGGTCCACTGCAGCCCTGCATCTGCCATGTCAGGACCCAGCCCACCCACCAGAAGACCAACATCAGTTCTGGGACACCTTGGGTCCCTCAGCCAGCTGTCCTGGGATCTGGCCCCATCCACTAGCAATCTGATACCAGCTTCAGGAAATAATAGTCCTTCAGCCAGAGACCCTGGGACCTGGATCCACACACCAGTGGGATGGTACTAGCTCTGGGACCTCCTGGGCCTGGCCCCACCCACCAGCAGGCCAACACTAACTCTGAGACCCCTTATTTCCTTCAGCCAGCTGCTCCAGGATTCAGTCATACTCACCAGTGGGCAGACACTAGTTTAGGACACCCAGAACCTCACAGCCAGCTGTGTCAGGAATTGGTCCTGTCCACCAGCAGGCTGACACTGGATCCTGGACCACCAGCCCTGCAACCACTCACTCCAGAATCTGGCTTCACCCACCAGTGGGCAAGAAACAGCCCAGTGACCCCTTGGGACCCCAGAAGCAGCAGCCTTATGACTAGGTGCTGCCCATCAGTAGCCAGCAGCCTCTGCCCAAGCTGGGGCCAGACAATCAACCAGACTGGGACAAGCCATGCCTGTCAGACCAGCCACAGTAGTCAGCCACTGCCTTCTACAATAGAAGGACCCACAGTGCCCAAAGAGTGGGCATCTCTGGAGCATGTAGCTCCGCTGACCAGAGGGAAGTACACTGATGGGATGCATAGGAGGGCTCCCACAAAAGGCCACTTTTCCTAGGTTGGGAAAGATAACTAACCTACCAGATATATAAAGATAAAAATAGCTTATTAGGCAAAATAAGGCAACAAAGTAATATGTTTAAAATAAAGGAAAAATATAGAAAGAAGAACTAAGAGAAGTATAGACAGGCAACCTACCAAGGAGTTCAAAGTAATTATTTTAAAGTTGTTGAAAGAACTCAGGAGAAGACTGGATGAATAGAATGAGACGTTAGAAGTTTTTTTTAACAGTTAAAAGTATAAGAAAGAACCAAGTAGAGATGAATAATACAATAACTGACATGAAAAATACATTAGATGGAATCAACAGTAGATTAGATGATACAGAGGAAAGGATCTGTGAGCTGGAAGAAGGAAAAAGAATGAAAAGAAATGAGAAGAGTTTAAGAAACATCTGGGATACCATCAAACATACTAACATTTACATTATAGGGATCCCAGAAGGAGAAGAAAGAGAAAAGAGCAGAGAATATATTTGAAGACATTATAGCTGAAAACTTCCCTAACTGAGGAAAGGAAATATTCATCCAGGTCTAGGAAGCACAGAAAGTTCCAAACAGGATCAACCCAAAGAGCATTACACAAAGACATATTGTAATGAAAATACCAAAAACTGAAGATTAAGAGAGAATATTAAAAGCAGCAAGGAAAAAGCAACAATCTACATAAAAGGCAACTCCATAAGGGTAAAAACAGACTTTTGATTAGAAACTCTGCAGCCCAAAGGAGGTGTCACAACATATTTCAAGTGAGGAAGAGAAAAAAAACCTACAACCAAGAATACTTACCTAGGAAGGCTTTAATTCAGATTTGATGGAGAGGTCAAATATTTCACAGACAAACACAAACTTCAGCACCACCAAACCAGCTTTACAGGAAATATTAAAGAGATCTCTCTTAGTTAAAAAGAAAAAGCCACAACTAAAAATAGAAAAATTACAAAAGAAAAAAATCTCACTGCTACTGGCAAATATATAGTAAAGGCAGTAAATCAACCATGTACAAATCTAGCAGGAAGGTTAAAAGACAAGAACAGTAATATCATCTATGTCCAAAATAAGTAGTTAAGGGATACACAAGAAAAAATTTTAAATATGATGTTAAAAACAGTAAACATGGTGAGGGAGTAGTAAAAAATGCAGGGCTGTTAAAACATGTTTAAACTTAAGAGAACATCCAATTAAAATAATCATGTATATATAGAGATTGCTATATATAAACCTCATGGTAATCAAACCAAAAAGCTACAATAATACACTATATACAAAAAAGAGAAAGGAATTCAAACATAACACTGAAGATAGTCATCAAATCACAAGGAAAGGGAGCAAAAGAAGAAATGAACAAAAAAGAACTACAAAAACAACTTCAAAACAATCAACAAAATGGCAATAAAGTACACATCTAAGAATAATTACTTTAAATGAAAATGGATTAAATGCTCCAATCAAAAGACATAGGGTGGCTGAATGGATTAAAACAACAACAACAACAACACCCATATACGTACTCCCAACAAAAGACTCACGTTAGATCTAAAGACTCAAACACACTGAAAGTGAGGAAATGGACAAAGGTATTTCATACAAATGGAAATCCAAAGAAAGCTGGAGTACGAATACCTATATCACACAAAATAGACTTTAAAATAAAGACTGTTACAAGAGACAAAGTTCAGTTCATAATAATCAAAGGATATCAATCCAAGAAGATGATATAGCAATTGTAAATATATATGCACTCAACAAAGGAGCACTTAAATATATAAGGCAAATATTAATGGACATAAAAGGAGAAAACAGTAACAGAATAATAGTAGGGGACTACTTTAACATCCAATTTACATCAATGGACAGATCATGTGGACAGAAAATCAATAAGGAAACACTGGCCTTAAATGACACATTAGACCAAATAGATATAATTGATAAATATAGAACATTCCATCAGAAAACAGCAGAATACACATTCTTTTCAAGTGCACATGGAATGTTATCCAGGATAGATCATGTGCTAAGACACAAAACAAGCCTCAGTAAATTTAAGAAAACTGAAATCACATGAAACATCTGTTCTGACCACAATACTATGAGACTAGATATCAAGTATAAGGAAAAAAAAAACTGCAAAAAACACAAACACCTGGAGCTAAACAATGTGTACTAAACAATGAAGGGATCCCTGAAGAAATCAAAGAGGAAATCAAAAAACACCTAGAGACAAAGGAAAACAAAAACACAATAATCCAAAACCTATGGGACTCAGCAAAGCCAGTTCTGAGAGGGAAGTTTATAGCAATACAAGCTTATCTCAATAAACAAAAAAATCTCAAATAGACAACCTGACCTTACATGAAGAAACTAGAAAAAGAAGAACAAACAAATCCCACAGTTAGCAGAAGGAAAGAAATCATAAATATCAGAGGAGAAATAAATGAAATCAAGAACAAAAGAAAGAAAGAAAGAAAGAAAGAAAGAAAGAAAGAAAGAAAGAAAGAAAGAAAGAAAGAAAGAAAGAAAGAAAGAAAGAAAGAATCAATGAAACTAGAAGCTGGTTCTTTGAAAAGATAACCAAAATTTATAAATGTTTAGCCAGACTCATCAAGAAAAAAAGGGAGAGCCCAAATCAATAAAATCAGAAATGAAAAATAAGTTACAACCAACATCACAGAAATACAGAGATGGAAAGTATACTGTGTTCATGGATTGAAAGAATAAATATTGTTAAAATGCCCATACTACTCAAGGCAATCTACAAAGTCAATGCAATCGCTATAAAAATGTGAAGGGCATTTTTCATAGAACTAGGACAAGTAATTTTAAAATTTGTGTGGAAACACAAAAGATCCCAAATAGCCAAAACAGTCTTGAGAAAGAAGAACAGAGCTTGGAGCAATCACATTTCCTGACTTCAAACTATACTATAAAGTTATAGTAATCAAAACAGTACAATACTGGCAC